AAATATTTTCAGGCTTCTACTTCTACTGCATTTTTGTGAAAGTTTATTACTTGTCTGTAAAAAGTCATAACTGGACTCTGACTTTTTGTAGTGTTGAGGTGTCTAATAATTCAGGTGTCATTTGTGATAAAGATATACAATTAGTTCCTGTACATGACCATACAGCTATTCTACATTCTCCAGCTGTTCCATTTTAAATAGGATAGTATTATTGTAATACAGAGGGTGCTCCACAAAAACCGAGCATGTCCCAGAAATGCAGGCATGCTCTAACTAGATTAGAACAGGCACAGGCCATGTTCTAATCAGAGCTCAACACTACATTTTTGGATCTATATGTCCCAAAAACTGAACTAGATTTTTTTTCTCAGAAATCTTACCTTGCTCCATTAGCATTGCTGCACCTCCACTAATGTTAGTGCACTTGAGGCACTACTAGTGGTTTTTACCATCCAGTTATCTAATCCCTACACAATGCAGAGCAAGATGAGTTGATAGCAAAATCTCCATTGGCCTCCTGATTTCTACAGATAAGCAGTGGCAGCAAACTCTTCAAAGCAGGGGCGGGCAATAATTTTTGGAAGGGCCTAATCCGGAAGTGATGGGGCCATAATGCTTCTTGGCTTCCCCACCATAATTGGTCTGGGGGTGGAGGAGCCCCTTTGCCCCCCTTCCCACAAGGCACCTATGCTCCTGGCAGGGTGGGAAGAGGCTTCACACGCTCCCCAGACCTCTCCCACCCTACCCCGGCCATGCAAGGAGCATGTGGCACTTCAGAGTGCCATGCCCTGCTCGCAGGATGGGAGGAGAGGTCACATGCTCCCCTGCCCCCAAGTCCTGATTGGCCTGGGGGCAGGGGAGCTGTGCGAAGCTTCCCTTGCTCTGCTTCCGCCCTGCACAATTGTACAGCACTGTGAAGCAGGGGAGCAGCAGGCCTTCACTGGTCAGATCAACCCAGTTGGTGGGCTGGATCCAGCCTGCAGAGGCCTTTTTGCCTACCCCTCCTCCAAAGACACAAAAGCAGATCTGGCTAGAAGTTGACACTGCTGATGTGAGTTGGGGTTGAAAATATGTTTTTTTTTTCTACACCAGGGAGGTTAGCAAAAGAACAGTTCTACTGGATGGAAGTGCGGACCAGGTCCTCTACAGCAGTGTTTCTCAACCAATGGTAGGAGTACCCTTCGGAGTACTCAGGAGAGATCTGTGGGGTACCTCAGCACAACTGAAATTTGGAGAAAACTGAATTTTTGTTTTGTTTTACAGTGTTTTATTATCTTTGTACTTTTTACACCCAAAAATGTCATTGCCTGCCTGGCTACGTTTAAACAAATGTGTTGCAAGGACAGAAAAAAATAGTCTGAAAACTGTAGGTACTGGGGCTACTTATAACTTTTTTTAATTAGTTACTTTATTTAAAAAAAAAAGGTAGAGAAACACTGCTGTGCAGGAGGGAAATGGTAGAGAGCTGAACAAGCTGGGGAGGGGAACTTTTGTGCCGCAGGCGACTGAAAAAGGACGTCGACTACTCTGGCCTAAGCAGGGATAAGGGACCCAGCCAACAGCGTCCCAGGCAGCTAGCTAGCGGGGCGGGGAGTCCGGCTCGAGGGGCGGACCGTAGGGCTGTACTGCGCGTCAGGCACTAAACAGCGGGAGGGGAGGGCCTGGGCAGCGTCTCTGAGCGCGGGAGGGAAGGCGGCACGTTTAAAGCTGGGCTCAAGCACTAGGCAGGCCTTGACTGCAGCAGTAGCGAGTCCAGCGCGGGGTAGGAGGCGGCAAGGAGGAGCAGGTCCCGCCGCGCCGCGTGTGGGTTAGTCCTTATCACGCCTCTTCCCCCAACTCCTTCTGCCTTCCCGTGCAACCGGCCTGCGGTAGCGGGTGCCGAGGGCTCGGGCAAGCGGCCCAGGAACTAGCAGCGGCAGAGGCAAGGCCCAGCGCTGCTCTCCGCCTGCTCTGACGGGCGCCAGCTGCGTTAGGGTCCAGGTGACTGTCCGGGCTCCCACACCAGCTCCCTTTTTCATCGGGGTGACCCCGCAGCGGGTCGGGTAAGAGCCTCTCCGAGGGTGGCGGAGCTGTCTGGCAGACATGGGGGGCGGGTAGATCGGGGTATCGGCTTGTTGCTAGCACTCATCGCGGATAAACGCGGGCGCCTGGCAAGGTGGGTTGCTTTTGTGCTGCTGGTGAGGGGAAGGTACGTGCAACTGCCTCGCTAATGGAGCAGGTGAGCAGCGACTTTCTCGTGGTTTCATGAGCTAACCCCTCAAAGAACAAGTCAGTTAAAGGGTGACCTGCAAGGCGGGGGTGGAGAAGAGAAGAATGGGTTTGTGGCTTTATGATCTATTTAGATGGCCTGAAATAGCTCCCGCCCCACCCCTTGTGGTCAGTGGGGGCTGTGGTGGCGGTGCCAGCAGAAGAGGGCTGCTTGGAGCCACCTCTGCCCCCAGGAGCTACACTGGTACATGCGGGCTACTTAGGAGAGCAACATGGGCCTAGGTCAGGCAGGGAGCTTGCCTTAGCTCCTCTGTTCCACTGACTAGCAGCCTCCTGAAGTAAGTGTTCACACCCCAGCCGTCTGCCCTAGCCCTGAGTCCTCTCTCATGCCCTAACTCCCATCAAGAGACCACACCCCAAGTCAGTCCTCACTCACTCCCACACCCCAATCCTTTGCCTGGAGCCCCCTCCTGCATCCAGAACCCCTCATTTTTAGCCAGATCCTGGGGGAGCCCTGAGCTTCTGCCTCCTTCCCTTATCCCTGACGGGGCTGTGTGTGGCCTGTGACTCTTTCTGGGGGTCAGTGGTCTGATAGTTGCCTCACCCTGCCATTTAGTATAGCTGGGTGCCTCTCATGAGTCATTGCCCCCCCGCCCTCCGGACAGCTGCCCGGCCTCCTCCCTGCCCCCTACTAACCCCATTAACTCAGAGGGTGAATGCCAAGGCAAACAGTAGCTGCAAAAAAGACATTATGGCCAAGGCAACTTGAGGATAAAGCCTCTCTACTCTCTTTCCTTGCCCGTGTCCTGCCTTTAGCCTGAGGGTCGGTCTCCAACAGTTCCTCCCATTACCTCACCATCCTGACCATCTCCCAAGCTGCTTGCCTTAGAGAAGAGGAGATGTGAGTGCCTCAGATGTACCTTGTCCTGGACAGCCAGTCCTGTAGTGCCCTGGAGCAGCTCTCTCAACATGCAGCGGGTGCTGCCCAGGCAGAGCTCTCTGCAGCTGGTGGGGGCATGCCTGACTCCGTGTGCAGTGCTGCTAGTTCCCCACTGCCTCAGCCACCAAACCCCAACAGCCTGCAGGGACCAAAAGCCTGCAGGGACCAGCACCCAACCCCTTTTCAGGGCATATTGTGAGAGCCAAGCAGGGCCTGCAAGAGACCAACAGGGTTTCCAAGGCAATGGGCAACTACATCAGGCCAAAGTGCCGCTGGCCCTGTGCTGCTGCAGCTGCCAGCATGTGGGGTAAGTGGGAAAGGCCAGGGCTGGCTGGGCAGCTGCAGAGCTCTTGAATACTCCCCCATTCTCCCCGCCACTGCCAAGCATGGCACTTTCTAGCTGTCAGCAAGAGACAGCTGGATGTTCAGAGCCAGCTTGACTGGGAGCTGCTGCCCTTCTCTCAAACTCTAGTAAGGCAAAACGGGCCAGTGTTTGCTTTAATGGTATAGTTTCTTCATTTCCCTGCATTTATGGTGCCGCAGTAGCCCTTCTTAAAGTCTTGCTACACTTTGTGCATCAGTTCCATGTGCCATAAGCCTATGCTGATGCACTGCCCTCTGGTTTATCTCTCTATAAAAAACCTTTTTCCTGTGGGATGTATCCTGCACATCCCCTCCCCTCTCAGCTGACCAGCCTCCCCCCTCCTCGGTGCTCTGGGGGGTGGGGTGGGGACGAGCAGGAGTTGTGTTGCCTCCCCGCTTCTTGGTGTTCTGGGGGGGAAGAGGGTTGGCTAGAGTAGTGAGCAAGGGGCGTAACTCCCTATTATTGTTTTAAAAAAAGTTTCTAATTTGTCTTGAGCATCATTAATATCAAATTAGAGGTAAGGCAAGTAAAATACTGTTTATACATGATCAATAATCAACACTTCTGAAAAACTTTTAAGAAAAGCATTTCTTAATCTTATGCCATTTTTCTCTATTTTGAGTTGAAATGCATAGCTACAGTTCTTGAATATTTACTTTCTAATTTAAGTATCAGAATGGAACTTGAATTCATTAGCCCAGAATAAACATTTTTGGCTGATATCTGAGGGGTTACTTTCTTAGGAAGTTCTACTAGACTAAATCACTTATCCAGACTTCATTATCTGTATCTCAAATACGGTTAAACTGTGTTATTTTAGGTAGTGTAGGTATGCTCTCAAAAATCTGCTTCTGCTAAAATGTGGAAGGTAGGATTCTTTTGTTTTAAATAGATTCCTGTAGCATAAAATATTTAAACAAAAAAGAACGCAGATTTTTGATTGGCTATTAAGTTTCAGCAGTCTTAAAATTTAGACACCACATGTTTGTTTAAATAAAGACGCCGTCACCTATATTGGTGCATTCAGATGTTTGTGATGGGGTAAAGTATATTTAGGAAAAAGAGCATGCTCATTCTACATTAATAAGACACAACTGTCTTGCAAATATATGATGTTTGGAAATGGGCTCATTATTCCTTGGTCAAAAAGTTAAACAGAATAGAGTGGATTTAGAGTGCAACAAGGAAAATATTGATAATACAATAAGATGCCAATGGAATCTGGTGGGTTTTGTGATGGTTTTTGTTTTGTGCGGGGAGGAGGAGGAAGGGAAGGACATCACAAGAGCCTACACAGCTCCCAGTACTTTTGGCACAATGTAGAAGGATAAGCAAGTCACCTGGTCCCCTGTTCTTTCCAACCCAAATGATTTCATTTGATACTACTTACAGCTTGTCCAATGCCCCATCTTGAACAAGTTGTGGGTAATATAGTAATAATCCATTTAGGAAATAATGGCATTATGTATATTTTTTCTTCTTCTACAGACCATGGATTCTGAATCAAAGCAGAGCTTCATAGGAAGCTTTCTTCAGCCTCCAGATAGAATGTTTGCTCCTACCTTTGGTCAGAGCACATTAAAGAAGGTTACAGCTACTACTAATGATGTGCTTCCTGCCCCAAACAACCAAGGTAACACCTCCCTTGCTTCCCCGCCCCCAAAATGTTTTTAATTCTGTTGATCAAATTGCCTCATCTATCCTACTTGTGGAAATTTGTCATTTAGCTCATTGGACTGTAGGCTTGTGTGGAAAGGGGGGTAGTAGAAACTGGTTGCCTAACTTTGGTTGCAAATTCTGTTTTGCTTGAAAATCGATGCTATGCTATAAAAGCAGAGGAAAATGCTGCTGTAGTGTTTGAAGTTCATCATTTTCTTTTTAACATATTTTGATTTGAAAATTTTATTTTTGTTTGGATGGTAGTATTTGCTTCCCTCTAGCTCAAAAACCATTTTACGGAAAGTTTATAGTTTGGTCCCCCTGGAAAACTTGAAGAAGAAACACAGTTGAAAGAACCAAGTTATAAATTGTTTTAGATATGAATAATATTTTTGCTGTTATGTGAATTATTTGCTATTAATTTTGGTAAGAGCAATGTTGGGTGTGGGAACATGTTTCTTTCTAGTGTGGCTTAACCATAGGAAGACCCTAAAGCGTGTGGATGAGTCTTAATAAGGTTCTTACACAAGGTTCTACTGCTTGTGTGTGTGTGTGTGTGTGTGTGTGTGTGTGTGTGTGTGTGCTGTTACTCTTCTCTCTCTCTCCCCTCTGTATTAGACTGCTATTATTTCCTAAATAGTCTGATAGTGACCGGGCCTTAGTCTTCAGGTACATTAGAGTGCCTGATGTAACTTGGCACACTTTTATATATAAGATGGGTTTATACCATGTTTCTACCTTCCAGTGCCTGATCTTGGGATAGTATTGCTCCAGGTTTAAGGCTGCTGTATATTAGAGCCATTGTATTAGCTGGGTAGACTGCTATTATTTCCTAAATAGTCTGATAGTGACCGGGCCTTAGTCTTCAGGTACATTAGAGTGCCTGATGTAACTTGGCACACTTTTATATATAAGATGGGTTTATACCATGTTTCTACCTTCCAGTGCCTGATCTTGGGATAGTATTGCTCCAGGTTTAAGGCTGCTGTATATTAGAGCCATTGTATTAGCTGGGGATCACTGCAATATGATCCGTCGTGCTTGAGAGAAATAGGAGAAGCTGGCAGGGAGAGGGGGCCATTATTTCCCTCTTACCCAATGGAATCCTTCGTCTATGTAGGGGAAGCCTTCAGGCTTGTGTGTGCTATTGAACTGTCACCAAGAGATTAGTTTGTTTCAGAATCTGAGAGGCAATAGCATCTTTGTAGCAAAAGCTGTAGCTGCAGTGGTACTAGGGATGTTACATTTAGATGAATTGGCTAATTGAATAGTTGATGCTATTTGCCTTGACTAGTCGATAAGGGTGCCTCTGCCTTTGAAGTGCAGCAACCGCCCCAGGGCTGTAGCTACATTTCAAGGCGAAAGTGCTGCGGGGAGCCCAGGGCCAGCAGGGGACTCAGGCAATGCCCCACTGGCCCTGTGCTACCCGCAGCGTTTCAAAGCACATGGAGCCTGTTGTCAGCAGGGGACTCCCTGGCTAATTCTAGGGTCCACACAGAACTTCCGCTTTGAAGCGCCCTCTTCTCTCCCCACCCCACCCCTTGCTGCCTCTTTCTGATAGAGGCAGTGGGCAGGCGGGGAGCAACTAATCGGATAGTTGACACACTAGATGCTTACCAGATAGTCAACTAGTTGTTCACGTCCCTAAGTGATACTTCATCATAAATATCTGAAAGCACAGGTGTGTGTTTTTTTTTTTTTTTTTTTTTTTTAAACCAAGTGTTACATTAGGGAACAAATTCTTGTTTGAGATATAAAAATGGCTCCCTCTCAATGTTATTCCAAAACATCCAATTTGACCTTCAGTCTGTTCAAACCAATCATAGGATTCACTTAATGTTATGATGCTACAATAATATTAAGGTTGACTTATACAAGAGACTTCCCTCCCTCCCCCCAAAGGCAAGAATAGCTTAATATTCAAAGTACTGCCATTGTTTGATAGTAGAAGCAGTTCTGTGTTAATGCAGATATTGGGGAGAGAAAAATTCTTGGTTGCATATGGCAGCATTCAAGCTAGCTAAAACTGCTTTTCAGAGTTGAGAGGAAAATCTAGGATCTGTTAAAATGTACTCTTCTTTCCTGCCATCCCTAAGAAAATGCCCCTTCAAACTAGAAAGAATGTGCACATCTTGAGATTGGGTAAGTGAAGAGCAGAGTGTAAATCAAGTGCAGAAAATAAGTGATAAAGCCAGGAACCACACTTTCATTTCTAATCTCGGTAGCAAACCCATGCTGTGTCCCAACAGACCATGGTACCTCTGATGCAAATTGCTTGCAATCACTTCATTTAGTAAAATTTGGTGAACAACGCTTACCCGTTTCTGGAAAGTTCTGTGAAATCTAAAAATCAAAAAGTATTTCTCTCACTTCTCCGAAAGGCATTGCAAGCTAGACATTTGCATTGTTTAACTTAGACTAAAGACTAGAACTCAGGTTTGATGTTTAATTTACTATAACTTGCTGGCACTCCTTACTAGAATTTGGAGTGAAGATGGCCATACGCTCATAAAGTACATTCTGACTTACAACAAACATGTTTTGCATGTAGTTATAAGGTGTACATTAAATGTATTGGGGGTCCATAGACTCTCTGTTAATTTTTCCAGTGGGTGCTATGGATTTTTTTATTCCACTTATTATCTTCCTTTTTTAAAATGGTTTCTTCTACTCCATTTAAAAAGCAAAAGAAATATATGGCTTTAAAACACATATAGTACTTGAGGAAGCAAAACAACTGTTTCATGTATCTAGTTACAGTCACTGTGTAAAAAATACACTGTCTTTTCATAACTTTTTTTTGGGGGGGGGAATCAATACAATGTTTTTAATGGCTAACACAATCTTGTAGTGTAGAAAAACATTTTTAAAATCCATTATAAAGGTTTAACTTGTAATTGTTCTGTTGTTCAATTAGCCCTTCTGTCAGCCCTACAAACTCTTCAAGAAAAGATCCGTCGTCTAGAGTTGGAGAGGTCACAAGCTGAAGATAACCTGTGTTGCCTTTCCATTGAGGCTGCCCAATATAAAAAGGCCTTGCAGCGGGAAACAAACGAGAAAGATATAGCACATGGGGAAATGATACAGCAGAAAAAAGGTCTCTTTCCAGTGGTGGTGATTAGGGTGGCAGATCTGTCATGCCTTTTTATTTTTGTTTTTAATAAAACAATCCAATTAAAAACAATTTGTTTTTAATAAAACAATACTCTTAGTAAAAGGCATGAATTTAGGGGGAAATGGTGTGTAAAGTCACAGGTGTATCATTTAAAGTGTTGGGGAGGGATTTAGTTGTGGGGAATATTGGGTCCCCCTGACTCTGTGTGGGGAGAAGCCTTGATGATGGGAGTGTTGCAGAATCAATCCATCGTGCACTTTGCAGCAGTGGCTCCTGTCCCACAGGACTGGCCTGGCTCCCCACCACAAAGAGGAAGAAGAGTCCTCCCTCTGTGATGACTCAACTCCCTCCCCCTCCAGGCCCTGGCACTGCTGGCTGTGGCCCTGGTGTCTGGCGTGCTTCCCCCTCTTTCTTCCCCCTTCCAATCTGCCTCCCACACTCCAGGATTTCACAGGTTATGGAGCTGCAGAAGACAAAGGGAAGTCCTGGTATTCATGACATCTCTACCTCTGTGACAGCTTGTAGCTGCACTAATAAATAGAAATAGTCACTACAGCCCTTAGTTCTCTCAACTGAAGGAGTATTCATGTTTGTTATGACGAGCTGCTATTCAGTGCAAGTCCTAGTTTCAGCTTTGAGGCATATAATCCTATCCAAACATCACAGTTTGTGTCTATATTATTTGTTATAAGTAGTGCTTTTTTTGTGACGGTATACCCCGGGACTGCATACCGGCACCTATTTTCCTATCATACTTTAATTAAATGTGATTCCCCTCTGGTGTACTGGTACCTATTTGCTGAGGCGGCTTGGCTCCCGATAGAAGCCCGCTTGGGACATTCAGCGCAGCTCTTAAAGGGGCCTCAACCGCATTTCAGCCTTCAGCACATTTTTTTCTTCAACAACTTTGAGCCTGAAGTACTGGCACTTTTTTTTCTTACCAAAAAAGCACTGGTTCTAACAACCAAATATTGCCTTTCCAAAGGAGTTACTTTACAGTTTGGTACTAAATAAATGGGCTTTAAGTATAGGATTAATGTAACCTATCGAATAACTTTCAGGCTATGTCTAGGCTATGGGTTTTTTGCGGGATACCAAAGATTTCCTGCAAAAACCCTGCCGCGTCCAAGGAATGTGTTTGCTCTTCTGCCTTTTTTTTGCAGAAGAGCAAACGTGCTGTTGTGGGGAGCCCTGTATACCTTGTTTCGCAAGGTATAAGGGCTCTGCTGAAAGAGGAGGCTTTTCTGCCATTTGGTGCCATCTAGACTGGGCTAACTGACAGAAAAGCTTCTTCTGCAAAAGTGATTGAAAAAAGCTGTGCAAATTGCAGCACTCAATTTGCATAGCTTTTTTTCGATAAAGCCCCCTCCTCTAGACCTAACCTGAGGGGAAAGAAGTACATGAGGGCGTTAGGCACTCTGGATAGTATGCAGCCCCTCTGAGTCTCTGCTTGCTGAAGTAGCCTGGATGAGATGTCCTGGGTTTTTTTTAGGTGTGCCACCAACAAACATCCCTACAGGTCAGTACTCAGTGCACTCCCCATCTGACAAAAGGTATTGAGGGGGGCAGAGAGATCCAGATTCTAATTAGTTTTATGATGGTATAAATTGAGAGTTAATCCCATGAAGTCAACGGTAACATAAATTGGGAGTTAATCCCATGAAGTCAACGGTAACACAGATCTGGCAGGTCTGGACCTGGAAACACATCGTGAGTCTTGCACATGTTAAAATACTTCCTGTTACCTACTTCACGGGCTCAGCCCAAGCAACTTTTTATATCTTAAAATAAAATCTCTCAAACATCTAAATCTCCAAGAACAGAGGGTGAGGGACAGGCTAGATCAGTGGTCACCAACCAGTAGATTGGGATCTACTGATCGATCTTGGAGCCTCTGACAGGAGATCCTGACTAGTTTGGCCAAGAGGCTACCAAGTGCTGGCACTTCAGCTGCCGTGCCCCGCACTGCTGCACATCTCCTGCCCTTTGCTTTGGAGCTGCCCCTCACCCTAGGGAGCCTCCTGCTTTCTGTGCAGGCAGGGGAGGGAGAAGTGGGGTGCTGATTGTCAAAGTGCAGCCTCTCCCACTTTGTATCCTTTCTCCACAGACCAGAGAGGGAGCACAATAGGATTTGGGGCGGAGTTTGCTGGCTGCTTTAGGGAGTGGTGCAGGGCCAGGGCAGGAGTGAGCCTGCCTTAGCCCCACTGCACCACCAACCAGGAGCCACCAGCAGTGCCCAGCTGCAGCCCACATCCCAAACTCCTACCCTAGTCATGAACCCCTTCCTGTACCCTAAGTCCCTTCCCCAGCCCCAAGCACCTCTGCATCCAAATTCCATCCTAGAGCTTGCACCTAGAACCCCCTCATACATCCCAACTGCCTGCCCCAAGAGCAGTTGAGAGACCCTCTCACACTCCAGATCCCTTAATCCAAGACCAGAGCCTACACCCCAATCCTCTGCCCAGTCTGATGTGAGTGAGAATGGGCAAGAGAGGGAGGATGGAGTAAGCACAGCTGGGGCTTCGGAGAAGGAGGCGGAGCAAGGGTATTTATATTTGAGGTAGATCTTGGATTGTACTTAATTCAAAAAGTTATCTTGTGCTCAGAAAGATGGTAGACTACTGGGCTAAATGTTACTCAAAATTAAGTATTCTGCTGTTTGTCTCTCTCCACAGATGTTAGTGTGCAGTTAAGTGCAGCACAATCCCGCTGCTCCCTACTGGAGAAACAGCTGGATTATATGAGGAAGATGGTTTTCAATGCAGAGCTAGAAAAGAATATGGTTTTAGAGCAACAGGTGAAGTATTTAATATAACAATAAGGGCATGACATTTAGAAATGGTAACAAGTATTTCCTGTATATAACATCTCTCTAGTTCTGCTCAGATTGGTAATGACCGAAAGTGATTCTCTGACAGCTATTCAGAGAATGACACAAAATGGCTTGCTGATTTGATGGAGTTCCTAATAAATAAGCTATCCTGTTTCTATGTTAGGCATGGCATACTCAGAAGCAAGCTCTGTAGCCAAGATCCATGCCACATCTGTTCGTTATAAAATCTTTTAATGCTCTAGGTATGGCTGAGGTTTGTTTAAATTAGGGCTGTGTCTAGACTGGCCAGTTTTTTCCGGAAAATCAACCGCTTTTTCGGAAACACTTGCCAGCTGGCTACAATGGTCGCTTGAATTTCCGCAAAAGCACTGACTTCCTACTGTAAGAAATCAGTGCTTTTTGCGGAAATACTATGCTGCTCCTGTTCGGGCAAAAGTCCCTTTTGCGCAAAACTTTTGCGCAAAAGGGCCAGTGTAGACAGCTGAGATTTGTTTTGCGCAAAAAAGCCCTGATCGTGAAAATGGTGATCGGGGCTTTTTTGCGCAAAAGCGTGTCTAGATTGGCCACAGACACTTTCCCGCAAAAAGTGCTTCTGCGGAAAAGCGTCCGTGCCATTTTAGACACTCTTTTCCGAAAATGATTTTAACGGAAAACGTTTCCGTTAAAAGCATTTCCGGAAAATCATGCCAGTATAGACGTAGCCGAAGGAGTTTTATACACAGCTGAACAGTATAATACAGCTTGGCATTCCACACTTTCTCCCTGTTTAAGTTCTACATTCCCAATATTTATGCTATCACACTGTCTTTAAATTTAAGTGTCTCTGAATCATACTTGTTTTCTAATTACACAACCCAAACTTGTAACTTGGTCATCTTGCTGTTCATTAGTAGCAACTGTTGGCTTTGGATGGTCTAGAATCCTTGCATGGTGTCAAGTATCAGAGGGGTAGCCGTGTTAGTCTGAATCTGCAAAAGCGATGAGGAGTCCTGTGGCACCTTATAGACTAACTGTTAGTCTATAAGGTGCCACAGGACTCCTCATCGCTTTTGCAGATTCAGACTAACACGGCTACCCAATCCTTGCTGTTTTGTTCTGCATCTGCTATTTGTTCCTTCTGGGGAGCAATCTGTACATGCTGATTGCTGTTTCTCTGCTGGCAGTCTTAATCACATATGATCTAGGTGCTGAATTATATATATATTTTAGGACAGCTGGAGTTGCCCATCCTTTTCCTCTGTACTAGAGTCAGCAGCTCTCTAAAAACACATCTACACTGCAGAGCTATTTTGGGATACCAGAAGTGCTGTGTAGATGCACCTTGATTGATGTCTGTTTATAAAAGTGTTCCTAGGCCCTTTTGCCATTGTTCCCTATTTGGCTACTATTTCCATGTCTAGCTATGTTGTTGATAGATTCTCTTCCAACTTTTGGAAAGAGACTATTGCCAGCAATAGCTCTGAGTTGTTTTTCTATCAGCACTTGTGCTGAACTATATCTGGTAGCTGCTATTGGTGGTGTTCAGTAACTCAGAAAGCAAGAAATGGATCTTCCTGCTATAAGATTTTCTTGGCTATCTGTATTGCTCTCAGCCTTTCCATTCATTTTCAGTTAATGTGGCTGCTAGTAGTATGCTCAATCATATTTTGTTCAGAATGACTTAAATTGGGCTGTAGGAAATTGTGTTCCATTGTCCATGACAAGTTCTGGAATACCGAAGTGAACAAAAGTGTGCTTTGGCTTCTTGATAATACTGCAAGATTGTATCTTCCAAGTATATTATTTCTATATACAGTGAAACCTTTGTTATCTGGCACTCCGTTAACCAGAAAACTTTAACTGGCATTGCCCCCAGCCAAAATACTGTCACATCTTCAGGCGCACAGGCCTGGTTTGGTTTACCACGATTGGCTTAACAATTTTTTTATTTAAGAAGTACTAATCATCTTTAATTCAAAATAGAAATGTGAGACCAACTGCCTCACACTACAAAACTACCAATATTAAAAACTTGAGTTTTACTATTATTGTCCGTGGTTTTTTCCTTAGGAATGCCCTAATCCCAGAGCATGCCAGATAACACAGGTTTTACTGTACCTGGGAACATAGTTGTCACCATTCCTCGATGGGTCACAACTGAGAATACCAAATTCAGGACAAACTACTGAAAAAATAGGGCAGTAATACCCAAAAACTGGTGTATATTCTTATGTAAGATATATACTAAACTAGCACCAAAAAATCTTCTGTCTGGTGAGACAGGCTAATAAGTCACATCTGTAGCCTCCTTAGGTAGTCTACTCCTTGTTGGAACACCCAAACACTAGGGATGTTAGCCTGTAGTCGTTCCCATAGAGGCATTAGTGAGGGAGGCAGGCAGGCAGGCAGGAGCTGGTACGTGTGGGGAGCCAGCTTTTTAGCAGGCTGGCTCCCCCCTCTTCTCTCTTTCTACCTCCTCCCTTCTCCCCCTCCCTCCCCCCGCACGCACACACACACACACACACACACACACACACACCGCTGCTGCCTCTGATACAGCTGCAGCAGCATGGGGAGGAGGAGAACTGTGTGTAACTGTGAAGGTTAACCTATCAGCCCAGGCTCGTTGATTACACCATCACATCCCTAGTTTCAACCAACTTTCCTGGTCCTTAGGCTTACCACCACTCAAATTGTCAGAATAATTTCTTTGGAATCTTTTTAAAATTTTGGTATTACATTTACTATTCTCTAGCCATCTGGCACCAAGGCTGATTAAAGTGATATATTACATATCACAGTTACAACTTCTTCAGTTTTGTGTTAGAATTCCTTCAGAATGCTTGTGTGAATAACATGTTTCTAGTGACTTATTACTGTTTAATTTATCAGTCTGTTCCAAAACCTCCTCTATTGATACCTCAGTCTGGGTCAGTTCCTGAGATTTGTCACAGAATGAGAATCTCCCTCTCATCCTCTGTTGTGAAGATGGATGCAAATAATCTGTTTAGCTTCTGATCAATGGTTTTATGTTCAGAGTGCTTCATTAGCACCTTGATACTTCAGTGGTCTGACTTTTTTGTATTTGTTAGGCTTCCTGCTTCTGATGAATTTAATGTTTTTGAGTCTGCAAGTTGCTCTTCGAATTCTTGTTGGTTTTTTTTTTTGGTGGCGTGAGGGCTGCTTAATTTATTTTTTACTTTTGCTTTGTCATATGCCTAATTTATTTTTTACTTTTGCTTTTACTTATGCTCCTTTCTAAGTTCCTCAGTAGGATTTGACTTCAGTTTTTAAAGGATGCTTTTTTTTGGCTTCTAACTGCTGCTTCTATTCTGTTTAGCCACAATGGCATTTTTTGATTGTCTTGTTTTGCTCTTTAATTGAGACATACATTTATTTTGAGTTTCGATTATGGTGTTTTTAATAGGTTTCCATTTAGCTTGCAAGCATTTCACTCTTGTGATCGTCATTTATTTTTATTTTAACTAGTTTCTTCATTTTGTGTTGGTCCTTTCTGTGAAATGCTACTATTGGGGGCTGCTTTGGTATTTTCCCTTCTAGAAAGGTGTTACATTTAATTATATTATTATGATTGCTATTATGGAGTGGCTCATCTATATTCATCTCTTGAACCTGATTGTACTCCACTTAGGACTAAATTTGAGAATTTCTTCTCCATGGTGAGTTCTTGGTCTAGCTGCTCCAAAAAACACTCAATAATATCTAGAAATTTTATCTCTGCTTCCTGTCCTGAGGTGAAATGTACCCAGTCGCCATAGGGGTAGTTGAAATCTCCTGTTATTATTGAGTTTTCTGTTCTTGTAGCCTCTCTAATCTCTGTGCACACTTTACAATCCCCATCCTACTTAGGTGGTCAATAGTGTATTCCTACTGGTATATTCTTATTATTCAAGCATGGCATTTCTCTCCATAGAGATTCTATGATACGGTTTGATTCATTTAAGATATTTTTACTATATTTGACTGTTTCCTTTCATGTAGTATACCATTCTCCCACCAGCATGATCTTTTGCCATTCTGGTATATTTTATACCCTGCTATTGTAATGTCCCAATGTTATCATCATTGTTTCACCAAGCTTCTGTGATGCACATATCAATGTCCTCCTTTAATACCAAGCACGCAAGTTCACCCCTCTTAATATTGAGACTTCTAGCACTTGTATACAAGCACTTAGACTGCTTAGTCTACCTGGCATTTTTCATAGCACTGAACTTAATACTTAAAATTTACTGTTTAAACAAAGCTCACTGTGGTGAGAAATATGATGTGTCGAACAGTTTTATTACACTGACAAATTCAACTTTGGCTTATTCTTTCCAGACTCTGCTTCAAAAGGAAAAAGATCAGAATCAGATGGAGCTTCATGCAAAACTTGAAAAACTTGAAGCTCTAGAAAAAGAGTGCTTCAGACTTATCAGTACACAAAGAACTGCAGAAGTACGCAAGCCTACTATGACAATGTGTAGTTAAAGTTCGCTTATAATTTCTTTAAGATTGTCAATTGTGTTTAAAATACACAGAGCATTTATCAACTGTAGCACCATCAGAGGAGTGTAACATATCTCAGTCTTCACTTTGCATTCTAACTCTGACTTATAAATATGAGGAATTCAAGCCTGCTTTTCAAGAGTCCTTCAAAATTGTTAGAGTCAAAATTACTAGATTGCAAGGTACTTGCCAATTTTGATTCACTGGACCAGCCTTAAACGTGATTAACAATACCTGTATTCTCTTTCAGGACAAGATCAAACAATTAGAGGAAAAGCTTCGTGAAGAAGAGCATCAGCGTAAGCTAATACAAGACAAAGCTGCTCAGGTATGATAGCAATAAATCAAGTAATTTGGCTAAGGAAATACTATTTATAGTCAACACTTAAAAAAAACAAAAACCCTGTTTGTTTGTTGGAAAAAATTCTGTAACCTCGTTTTTGAGTTGTCAATCGAATAAGCTTTGCTTAGTGAAGTGTATATTTTAATGTATATTTGGCTTCTTCTGGAGTCATCAGTTCCATAGGTAAACCTGAGTTATGTTTTTGAACTTAAGGCAGGGATTCAACTTTTTTTTTTTTTTTTTTAAATGCAAGAAGAATGCAGCATGCTCTTCTCAAAATTAGAGTCATGCTCATTGAATACACTAAATTTATTGTAAATTCTTAGAGAATTCATTGTTTAAGTTAAAATTAATGATAAAATGGGCCCGGTAAGCAACATAGCACCCTAAATTAGACTCTGTCCTGAACTATCTTAATGGAATAAGAGACATTCCATATGGCTAAAATTCACTGACATCTTTTATATTTGGAGACCGTTTAAATTGTTGGACTCATTTTTCACTATTAAATGACAAATTTCTTCAGAGGTTTAAAAAAATAAGTGATCTACAGAGACTTCCATAAAACTGTTTTTTCTGCTGGGGCTATCATTTTTCCTGAGTCATTTTACTTACACTAAGAACACCGAGGCTATGTCTATACTGCAACACTATTTCAGGATACTGGAGTATCCCAAAATAGCTATCCCGCGTCTTAACAGCAAGCCTGTTATTTTGGGCTTGCTATTCCGACATTCCTGTAAACCTCATTCCACAAGGAGTAAGAGAAGTTTCAGAATAGTGTTCTTTTGAAATAAGATACGCAATTTGCATAGCTCTGAGAGAGAGCCATTTTAAAAGAGGGCTATGGATCCTCATAGCCTAACTCTCATTGAGAATCATACTAGCTAGCAGCCATTTTGAAAGAGAGCAGAGTCTTTTGGAATTTGCTGTAAACGAATACTTGTTCTTCACCTCTTCTGTTGCAACAACCTAACAGTTACATAAATGAAGGGTCATCTAGTCCAGCCACCTGTGTGAAGTATGACTAAGTACAGCTAGACCAATCTTTTCTTGTCTGGTCCAGCCTATTCTTAGGGTGCCCCCACCTCCAAAACCTATTCCAGAAATTAAGTATCCTTATAATTATTAAGATTTTTCCTAATACCTAACCTAAATCTCCCTTACTTCAGATAATGCCCATTCCTTTTTGTCCTACTTTCAGGACAACACCACAAGTGTTCATGGTCCTCTTTATTACACTCCTTAGCATATCTGAATACTGTTATCAGAACTCCCCTCAGTCATCTTGTCTCAAGACTAAACCTCTCCATATAGGTCAGATTTTTAAACCTTTTGTCATTTTGTGTTGTTTTCCTCTGACACACTCCCCAGTTTATCTTTTTCCTAAAATGTGGCATTCAGAATTGGGCACAGTACACCATATGTGGCTTCACTAGTGCTGAACAGAGCTGGACCATTACCTCCCATATTTTACATACGGTCTGTATTTGAGTAAGGAGCGAGATTCTCTTATTGTAAGTGTCACCATTGCAGTCGCCTCTTGCAGCAGTTCCAGCAAAAAACCTCACTGCCTTCTGTTATCAGTCTGGTATTTTCAAGAATTAGCTTTTGCCACTGGCTGCCCCACCCGTCTGGGATTCCCTGGGGATGGGGCTTTCCAGTCCTGTTGTTGGCTGGCCGGGGCTCCTTGGGGACAGGGCTCGCTGGTCTTGCTTCCAGGGCTGGCGCGAACCGGGACTGCATGACCCAGTAGTTTGCAGCCTGGTGGTTGGAAACCACTTCTTTAAAAGGATTAATGGTATTTACCTTATTAAACTAATCTTGTATAGACAGCAGTAATTGTAAAGAAATCCTTAGAAAAGTTTGTGATGTTGACAATGGGACTGATGCTAAATGTTGCATGACAGGTGATGGATCACTCTATAATTGCACTATTCTGTGATTGTTCTGGAGCATCTGGCTTCAGCCACTTTTAGAAGACAGGACACTGGGCTAGATGGACCATTGGTGACTTAATATGTCCGTTCTTATGTTGTCTAAACCCCTCTTCTGCTTTAAAAGGCCATTAGTTGTAGAAGTTGAGAGTTCTAGTTGCTGTATTTCAGTATGGAAATTGCAACACTACCTTGGAGATAGCAACGTATATTTGATCCTCTGACATCCTGTGTCATGTTCAGTCTTCACATCCCCTTTTATAATCTTCATGCCTCCCAAGGAGTTCGGTTAGTAATGCATCTGATTAATCCTCCTTCATGTATGGATGACAGTTCAATCTGTACTATTTAAAAACTTTTGATATTAAATGCTTTTCTTATTATTATTATAGCTTCAAACTGGACTTGAGATCAATAGAATTTTAATGTCTTCCGAGTCGCTGCAAAATGAACCAAAAAAAAGAAACAGGAAAAAGAAAACTGCAAAGGTAACAAGCAAGTTTGTCATTTGCACAAGTGCCATGACTTGTAAAACTGGCTCTGTGAAATGCCACAGAGCCATTGCTAAATTTATCTGTCACTGTACAGTTAATCTGACAATTCAATCTTTTTACTGAGACTTCTTCCATATTTGGGAGACATAGGAAAATGTTAATACCTATTAAAGGAGATGAATTGAGACATTTCATTGCTTTTGTATGCAATGATGTGTTGCTGAAGTGTAGCACAGACTTGCTCTCAACAGAGGGGAGGGGAGGGGGAAGGTTTGTTGACAAAATATTTCGGTTGTGCTCTTTATAATTGTAGTGTGATAGTACTTAGGGTCCTACTTCATGACAAATTCCTATTTGCTAGGCACTGCACAAACACAGAACAAAAACAGACCCCGTTTTAAAAGTTTACAATTGTTCTTTCTAATCAGACTGTAAAGTTACACTATTAGGCAAATGTGTCTTCTGTCTGTCAGAAAAAATCTGCTCTGAAGAAAGTACATCCTCCACACTTTTGTCTAAAAGCTGGGATGCTGCCTTTTGTGGCTGGGAAGGTGAGCCTGGTTAGATTCCCATTTAAACATGTGTTCATGTTCTTTTAAAAATAAGCATTTTCCCATTTATTACCTTGATTATAGCTGCTTACAGAAACTTCCTTTTTTCCACTCTCAAGTCTGCCAGTTCCAGCCATTCTGTTAGTGCAAATGTACAAAGTATCTTGCATCTGATGAAACATCGTAGCCCATGTGTCTTGTCACGGTGTCCAGAACCAGCTGAACACAGGATTTCTAGACGAACTATTGCTTGCAAATCTGTATCCTCTTGTTCCACCTCTTCTGTCACTGAAAATCTGTCTGACCTTCTGCTGGCGATACAAGATGAACTAGGCCAAATGAGCTTGTAAGTATGTATCTGTGTATTATCTCCCAAACAATAAAAAGCTGTGATGCTCTGACTAAAAATGACTGGAAGTTGCAGAGAGGGACTGTTTGAATACTTTACTAGCAGATGTTTAGGGGAATAGGGTTTGAGTGGATCTTGCAGATAAAATTTTCTCAGTAGGAAGCTCTTGTAGCCTTACATTTAAACAACCCGATGAGCAAATAGTGGAGGTTCTTTTGGGACTTTCTTTCTTTCAAAGCCATTTACTACTTATGATATTGGAGTAACAGACTAATGCCTAGAAGATATCCCTATCCTCAGAGTTACACAGTAAAATGGTATGTTTCCTTTGGGATAAACCTTTTATTTAATCCCTAGAAGAGTAGGTTATATTGCTCAAAGGGTATTGTCAGTCACAGTAAGGTCAAAACTGGCAGGAGGCCTGAGATGAAGGGACAGAAAGGACAACTGCATGGTTTGATGACTAGGTGTCCTGCTGGTATCTATATAGTCCTTATAAATAGTAAAGGGGGTAGGGGGTTGAATCAACATAGTATTTTATTAAGAATTTTAGCATTGTTGGTCCTCATTCTTCACAAAGCTATAGCTAGAACTCCCTTATTAGTTGTGTGCCAAATCAGAAAAACTGTGTGCTTTAGAGTAGCAATTTAATCTGGAGGAATTTTATGAAGAGAACAAATAGTTATTGATTTATTTTTTTTCAGTTTTGCTCACTTTGTGCTAGGCATTTTATGGTATAAAAGAAGTCATGGCCCTTTGCCCCAAAGATCTTGTTGATCAATAACTTGTAACTGTAGTCACTCGTGTGTAGCTTTACTCCATGCCTTAGGCATCTATAAATGACACTGTCTCTTATTAGCTTGTAGAGTGAAATGCTTGAAAGTGTGATTGCCAATAGCAACAAATTATGGAGTTAATTTTGCCCAGTAGAATTCTTAATTTTACTTGATTGATTTGACAAACCGTAATTGGTGGTTGTAAAACAAGTTTTTTCTGAATTCTGTTAAGTGCTCAAAGTAAGAGGCAACTTCAGACAGGGATTGGACTCGGCAGACAATATACACCTAATGTACACTGGTTATTTACTTTAAGATCTTTAATTTTTCACATTCCAAATTCCCATTGTGCATGATGCTGCAGTACCAGCACACTCTGGTGCTTATTTATTCAGTCTTACTAGAGAAATGGTTATGATGTAATAGAGTATACTATAGCTGTAGGCTCAGAGTAGTAGGAAAATAAGTAATGGAAAAATTTGAAAGTTCGCATATTAACAGTATTAGTTGTGTAGCATGGTAGTTAACTTCCTTTCTTTGCTACTGAGGAGACCTCCTGGAGTTGAAACTTGTACAGTGTACTATTGTCTAGTATATTTATCTCTAACAGTGAGCATCAAGAACTCTTGAAGCAGATACAAGAAACTCAAAACTGTGAAGTTCGTGAAGACCTAGAGCGTGAATTGGACTGTCTTGTAAAGCAAATGGAAATTAAAGGGGAACAGATATCTAAATTGAAAAAACACCAAGCCAGTGTAAGGAAATACTTCTAATTAAACTATTAAAGCTAAGCTATTGGAATACAGTGAAAATGTTTCATGCTGTTGCTAAAACGAGTTTCTGCCTATATTTAGAATGTACAACCTCATTGGGATTCCAAGACCAATCGGTTTAAACAAGAAACTTCTTTGAAGCGTGTGTCAGATTCAAACATTCGTCCCTATTTCTATTTAGAAAGTAATGGTGGTTTGGATGCATTTTAAAGGGTTTTTGTTTTTTTTGTGGGGGAAAAGGGGTGGTTTGTTGGGTTGTGTGTTGTTTTGTTTTTTTGTTGTTGTGTTGGTGGGGTTTTTTTTTTGTATGTGTGTTAAATCTTAAATCCACATAAGGAGCACTTGAAAATGTGTCCAGAATTTTTTTTTCTCATAATTTCTGCTGGAGTGTCCTTCATTGCAAGTTTCATACTGTGTGCAAGTGAAGACATTCAAAAGCAATTCATGCTAATATATCAACTTCATGATTGATATTTATTCTCACAAAGAATTTAGGTGCTTAGATATAGTGCTTGATATTGAACATCTGGAAATATGCTAAAGTGTAAAACATTTCCATAAATGGGATATTATAATTGATACGAGCTGGTCTACATTGAAAAGTTATATCTGCATAGTTACATCTCTCAGGGGCAGGAGAAATTAATACTCCTTGAGAGACATAGTTAAAATGACTTAATCCCTAGCTACTGTCTTTCAGGGAGGTGTATGATCTACAGGAGAAAGAGATAAGGATCTTGCGCAGAAAGGGTTTTTTGCGCAAAAAGGAAACGTTCACACTGCTTGTTTTTGCACAAAAACCCTTTGCCCAAAAATCGACTGGAAGAGATTATGCAAATGAAGCACAAGAAAATGCTAATCCGCACTTCATTTGCATTGCCTCTTCCGGCTAAGCTTGTAGTGTAGCCGTAGCCTGCCTCATCTCTGTAGTGTAGACACACTACACTATAGAAGCCCTGCAATAGAGCAGCTAGAGCTGTGTCTGTATGGCATTTTAAGAGTAGACCTAGCCTTAGATGAGTGGCTCTGTCTCTCTCATACAAACATTTACATTTTGAATTTTACAAAAAGTCTTGTTGTTTTAATTATCTTTATTTACATTTTCAAAGTAAAGTTATAATACTTGCTACTTTTATAGAAATTAGCTTGATAAGCCAATCTATCTTATAATCAGTGTTTGTTTGAGAATGTGGCTCTTAAGAGGTGCCTGGGTCTCTGGCCAATATTCTTTCTGAGCATAAAGTTTTTATTCATTATCTTCATTTTTAGGTCCACAAATTAAAGCAAAAAGTTCAGAAATTGAAGAAACAGTCAGCTCATGTCCTCCCAAAATCTGATGACCTAAATGGAACAAGAGAGGTTTCAGTTACTCCAAGCAAAAGTGCATCAAAAACCTGTCCTGTGCAGAAAAGCAAAAGTTCTCTTCATCTGTTAAAAAATGCACAGAAACTTCAATCAACACTGAAAAAAGATGATATCCTGTGGGAACAGTAGTAGTTCCTATAGGTAGTGCCTCTTACTGATATGCCAAAAAAACCTAGTCTGACACTTCATAGGTTTGGATTTAAGAAATATTAGACCGAATAAAATGTCTAACTTTATGCAGTGTCTAAAAATATATGCTTGTCTAATAGTAAATGTTGAAACTTAGGTTTGAGTTGAACACATTCATTTTCCATGTAGCTATGCATATTTTTAATAAAATACGTTTTAAACTGTTTCATGAAGTATCCAAATTTCTTAACTGACAAAATAAAACAATCTTTGAAATATATAAGAAATGCAACCTGTTTCTTTTACCCGGTTTACATTTGAGGAGGAGGATTTGCACATGCTCTGAAATAATTATGAAGTACAGGAGGAAGGGAAAACTCCTTAATGTAGGACAGAAACCCAGGACTATCACATTTCCTCCATGCTCAAGAGAAATACTTAAAGCCTGCTTCTGTATTCCTAACAAGGCCAAAATTCCCATTAAAGTCAGGAAGAATCTTCTTTCTTGTTAAGACTGAAGATTTGGGTACAATATCTTTGAACGTGCACTTGCTAATATTTGAATGTAAAATTATCTAGGGGATAAACTTTAGAGCCTGCATTCATGAGCTGATGTTGAAGATTGTTTTGCAGGGGGCATTTGGCAATAAGTAACTTGTAATGATAGGGTAAGAATGTCTCCTCTTCTTCCCTACTAAGTACATTTTTGAAAATGTTCTGGCTTGTATTACATACACATACCAGTCAGATGGTTTAAACGGCTTGTATTGGTTTCAATACGACATGAGTTATTTTTATTAAACTTAAACAAACATTCCTCACAACTGACTCTTTAATGCTGCCTAATTATACTTTAATGCTAATAAGACACCATTCATATTACTCCCACAGTTATGTTTTTTAGTATGACTCTTGCTAAGCTTTTGAACTGGATATGTGGAAGGGAACAATCCATAAAAATCTAAGTATATGTTTAGCCTAGAAAACTCTGTCAATGAAGCTTGCCTAAATCATGTAATAAACCAATGTAGTGGAAAAATGTATAAATGTGGCTGAAGCAATTGTGTGGACTGGGCTTAGAACCCTAAGCCTGAATTCAATTATGTAATAAGTGACCCAATCAATTACTGCTGTGGAGTTTTCAGACTCATAGCTGCTTGCTATTGTTACTAATATAACAGTCAACTCAGTCATGCCTCACCATATTTTTTGAAACTTGGCATGTGAATATGCATAACTCAAAGATGCTTGATGTGAAATGTTTCCTGTAATCTATATCCATTTTAAACATTA